TTCGCCCACAACTATACAATCAATTCACTTTACAGTGTGTTCTGTGAAGCTCTTTGGGACATCCTCCCGACGTGAAAAACGCTATATCAAATGCAAGGATTATTATTATTATTAAACCCATCACCATGTTTAAGAGTATCCAAACGGGACATATATAGACCATATATATAGACCAACCTACTCATAGCAGACCTGCCTAGAGGAGTTTGGATAAATAACACACTCGATCCAAGCCCATCAATCCTACTAAATAAAAATTCAGGTAGGACTTTTTTATTATTGTATTATTGTTATATCTGTGTATTTTGTTGGCAAACCCATTGGCCGGTTTGCGCATAGCAAACAGCCATTGAGCGAGTGACCAATTTTTTATTTGGGGGATTCTTGGCCAAGACACCGGGAGAAACTCCCTTCTCTTTTCGAATAGTGCCATGGGATCTTTAACGTCCACCTGAACAAGCAGACAGGACATCAGTTTAACATTTCATCCGAAGGATGGCACCTTCAACGATGTAGCACAATCCCAGCACTGCATTGGAGTGTTAATTTAGACTATGTAATTCCAATTCCCAACTTCAGCTTGAATCCACAACCTTCACCCTACCACACTGGTTCGCGTAATACATTGCGAGAGTGCTACCACGGAACCAGTCTGTCACACATTTCCTATAATTATTAGTGCAAACGGGACTGTTAATAAGACAATTCAGAAATGGCTTGACAAGGTACCCAGTGCATAAAATGTCTATCTCCTGCAGAAGTAGTTATTTTGAAAAGTTCAAATATACTAAGAAAAGTAACATCCATTCAAGAGTAAAGTGGCAGTATTATAGGTCTGGCTGACCCATCAGTGAAAAACATTTGGAAACTACCTTTACGGAGTGATCTAAACTGCAATAATAATACTCTTGCATATTAATAATAATAATCATATTTAATCATGTTTCACATGGGAGAACGTCTCAAAGTATGCTTCACAGAATGAATTATAAAGTGCAGTGACTGAGCAATGGCCCATAATCAGTCATGAACTAAATTTTCATGGCTGAGGGATTTTATCTGCTGGCCAGGACACCAGGAGAAAACTCCCTTCCCTTTTAGAAAAGTGTCATGAGATCTTTAATGTCCATCTGAACAGGCGGACAGGGACCTTGGATTAATGCCTCATCCTGTCAGTATCATGTTCAGATGAAGCTTTTTAGCCCATTAAAATAATTTATGCACTTTCCGATTGTATCAGAATTTGTAGTATTGAAAAAAATCCTTTTCTCTATTTATGATATACAATGACGTTCAGAGCAGCTGAATGTATTGTATTTCAGTTGCATTGTGACTGATATATTTTCTGCACTGTGCCTTGGGTTATCTTGCTGCATCGCAGATGACAGTTCATCTCACCGCGGGGCCAAGGTTTTCAGGCAGCATTATCCAGCATCATCTACTTTCTTAACCTGAGACTGAGTCACTGCTCTCAACACCTCAATGCCACGTGCGTCACTTAAAATTCAGACCTTCTGTGGGAGTTCATGTTGTTACATTTCAAACAACTTACTCACACTCTACTGGTCAGATTATCCTACTGAATCACTGTGAAAATAATCAATAAATCATTTCAATGGATTATAAATAGAGGAACAAGTTATGAACTATTGTTGAATATTCCTAGGTGACACGGGCAAATTAGCTATTGTAATTGTATGCTGTTGCTTCAATATCAAATGAGCAATTCCAAAGAGTTTTTGACTTTAATGAAATGAAATTATGTTGCTGCACCAGTATTTAGCTGTGGTGTATTGTTCTAAGTAGGTCGAGTTAAATTGTCACTGTGAACCTGTTCTTATCTACATTTTGCACTACCTTTCAGAGTAGATTTTTATTTCTCTTTTCCCTTTCTTCTCCTGAATACATGGTGTGGTACTACAGTATAGTTCCAAGACTACCTACAAGCCTTCATCCAAGTTGCAGATAAAGCTCATTCTTCATCTGCAACTGCACCAAGTAATTTCGAACTCAAAGCCCTCGTCTGACACTCTAATGCAGTGCTGGGGAGGTGCTGCATGTAAGAGGTGCTATGCTTCATTTGAGATGTTAAACGTGGTCCTGTCTACCTGTTCAGGTGAACTTTAAAGATCTCATGGAATTATTTTTTAAAAAATGGAGATTCTCCTAGTGTCCTGGCCAGCAATCCCCCAGATAAAATTGATCATTCACTTCAACGCTATTGTGGGACATTGTTGTGCACAAATCGGCTGCCTCACTTGCTCTAACCACTGAGCTACAGGACTTCATTGCAATGTCAGTTCAACTGAAGAATTTGTGTATTTCAGAGGAAACATGATGCATACATAAGGGAGAAGGTAGTACAGGGGTTTAGGAGAGAGAATTACATCAAGCACTTTAAGACAGCCTCCTGACGTGAAAGGCGCTATCTAAGTGTCAATTGTATGTGTTTAACTGCACTCTAGATTTTATTTTTTGACATTCCATTTTTGGAAAGCAATAAAAAAATGGAAATGATATTCCACAACAGTCTTCTTTTCGTAAAGGAATGCTTCCTGTTAATCTGGCACACTGGCTGGGAAACACACACAAAAATAGTATGGCTTTGCCTCCAATTGAAATACATGTTTAAATACATTGCACAGGACAGAGACAGGTAATTCAGCCCAATGAGTCTGTGCCAGTGTTTGTACTCCACATAAGCCTCCGTCCCTTCTAACACCCTCTTCTTAAAGACCTCTGTTCACTTCTCCCTCATGTATGTATCACGTTTTCTATTCCGTCATTCAGATGAGCTGTTAAACCAAGGTCATGTCTGCCTATTTAGGTGGATGTTAAACAACAACAATTTCCATTTATATAGCGCCCTTCAGGCAGGGTAGCGTCCCGAAGAGCTAAGGTCCTTAAAGATCCCACAGAGTTTCTCTCAGTGTCCCGGCCAACAAATCCCCCAAATAAAATTGGTCACTCACTCCGTTGCTGATTGTGGGACAATGCTGTGTGAAAACTGGCTGCCACTTTTCAACCACAAAATAAACAGTCACTGCACCTGACAGTAATAATAATAATAATAATCCTTGCATTTGATATAGCACTTTTCACGTCGGGAGGACGTCCCAAAGTGCTTCACAGAACACACTGTAAAGTGAATTGACTATATATTTGTGGGCGAACGTGGCAGCCAATTGCGCACAGCAATATCCCACAAACAGTCGTAGATTGAAAATGAAAAATTTATTATTGTTTTTGTTTTGGAGGGATTATTATTAAGCTCTGTGTGGAGTAAGAAAACTTGCCCAAGGTTTCGTCCTGCCTGGAATTGAAATCAGGTCTCACACTTGCAAAGCGAGTGCTCTAACCACTGAGCTACAGGACTCCACAGTATATCCTGTGAAGCACTTCAAGATGTGTTAACGACGCGATGAGGCGCTATATCAAATGCAATGATTATTATTGATAAAAACATTGAGGATCATCTTAAACACAAGATTTCTTCAGAGGGAACTCACAGAGTTAAAAACCTGCCTATTAAAACTGGTATTTACACATGTCTCTNAAAAAAATACTCTGCCTTTGGTGGCACCTCACTCGTACTTTATTTAACTGCTGCGTGTCGTTCTTAAAAGATAAAAGAGAACTTGCTGCTGATTCTGGGCAGCCCTTTGCCACAATCAGTATTTTTTTTTACATACGCAAAGACACACGCACGCACAGAGGTTTATTTTGTGAAAAAAAATCCACCCTCCCTCTTGGGAAAGATTCACTAGAAAAACGCCGACGTCAAACACAATATTAATTTTGGACAGCCCTCTGATTTGCAGCGTTTTATGGTAATTCCTCCTGTGCCACTTCACTGGGTTGTTCTCACACGTGTCCTGTTCCCCCCCCTCCCCCCTTTATATATCATATGGAACACTTCCAATGGCAATGTAAAGACCTGAGCCCATTGCAATGTAGCCTCCTCGGATCTGAACAACACATCTCTTATGATCCAGGCTGCAGGTTATGAACAGCAGATCCAAGATCTCCAGGTTAATCTCCCCAGATCGCCAGACCGATGAGGAATTGGAAGCCCGGTTAGCTTCCTTTCATCACACGGGCAGGGTTCTTTGCTAACCATTTATGTACCTTGCAACACCATCCCCTGACCATCACACGTCTGAAAGGAACTGTCCCAAGCAATCACATGGTTTAAATGTCTGTCTAGCATTCGACGTTTCACAAGCCCGCTTCGAAAATATAACGTTTTAGATGTCACTCATTTATTCCGCCGCGTTTTGCCCACAAGTTATCCGAGTCAATTCACTTTATAGTATATCCTGTGAAGCGCTTTGAGACGTCTCAAAGATGCGATAAGGCGCCATGTCAAAACACACGGATTATTATTCTTTATGTAAAATATTAACCCGTTTATCAGTTAAGCCATGCATCCGCCACTCCCAAGGTGAAACAGCAGTGAAAAATACCAGTAACAGCACAATTAAATGGTGTGTACAGTCATAAAGAGGTCTGATCAGATTAATAGCTTGCATGACACTCTGATTTTGTATCCGGGCTTCCTGTACCTAGTTTTGTCTTGGCTCAGTAACAATAATAAACCTTGCATTTAATGCTGAGTGGTGAGATTTTTTTTTATTGCTACATTTTGATTCTGAGCACCCGATCAATTCAATTACTGATGGTAACATTATTTGGCAAACCTAAGGCAAGGCTTTATTTTCTTACAAGGGAGGGTATTTGTTTGCCTAGAAAATACACAGTCACTACACTTTCCAGTAAATCATACGTACAGTATAATACAGTAAGTAGGAACCCAGCTGTTAGTCTCTAAAGAGGGTGGGTGTGGGGATTGGTAATAATCCCTCAAAATAATAATAATAATTTTGCACTCAATCCAGTGGGGAAAGCCTTGCGCTGAACACCAAGTGAACGTCACATATGGAGTGTAAATGCACAGTTCCTCTTGTGTTTTTTTTCTCTCTCTCTCTCTCTCTGCGGGGAAAAAGCTACTGGGTGCGTTTTTTTTGCAGCAAAGTCGTAGGCAAGACATCGCACACAATTTAGACGCATCCTCGTCAGGCACAGACGTGGATGGAGGTGGGTGAGTGGGGTTGGGTGTGTGTGTGTGTGTGTGTTGTGTGTGTGTGTGTACTGGTGGTGGAGTGGATGGGAGGGGGGGGAGGGGAGTGGGGGAGAGAGGGATGGAGTTGGGGATGGAGTTGCATTTCTTTTTTTAATGGAGGAGGAGGGAGAGGAGGGTGTGTGTGTGAGTGTGTGTGTTGCATAAATAAATAAGAGCCAGAGCGAGCAGGCAATCGGGGGACACGAAACAGAAAATAATCTGATCAGTGGGTGACGCTGGTCTGAACCTCGCCTTCTTACTGCAGACAACAGCGACCACCGACCGCACAGTGTAGAGAGAGGAGACAGCGGCTGCTTCGCAGGGATGGCGGAGCCAAATAAAACCCACGTTATCCTCCTGGCCTGTGGCAGCTTCAACCCCATCACCAAAGGGCACATCCAGATGTTCGGTAAGATGGCATTCCCCCCCCCCCATCCTCCGACCATCGAGACATTATTTCATCCTCATCCATTAATCCATCCATCCATCCATATTATTATTATTATTATTATTATTATTATTATCATTATTATTATTCATCCATTCATTGATAACTCGTTCATCAATGAATCCTTTCCAATGGCAGTTCTCTTAGAAGTAACCGATTTTTTTTTGTTTGTTTGTTTATTTATTTATTTTTATTATTATTATTACTATTATTATTATTACTATTATTATTATTATTAATTGTTATGACATGTACCTATAACCACTGTCCGGAGGGGGGGGGGGGGGGGGGGGGGGGGGATGGTGGAAGGCGAACTGGACAGACCTTGGTCTTCTTTCGCCTCTGCAAATTCTTATGTTGTTGCTATTAATAATAATATGAACATAATAACTTATTCATCATCATCATCATCATAACAACAACAACAACAATAACGTGCTTTCGAAACGCCAGTGGTCATCATTATTCATATTAATAATAATGATTCGAACGGTCGGTTGTTGTTGTGAGTGGTTGGTAATAATAATTAATTAGCAATAATCATGAATAATTCATTCATCCATTGATTGATTGATGGATTGATTGATTGATTGATTGATTGATTCATTAACGATCGCCACTGGTATTTCTCATTATTATCCGCACTCCAAAAAAAATAACCACCCATCGTCCTGATTATTATTGATACGGATAACCATCACGACTGGTGTTTCTAAGCAGCTGTGTTTAGATCTAACCCCCACCCCAACACCCCCCCCCCAACCCCAACCCCCCCCCCCCCCCCCCCCCCCCCCCCCACACACACACACACAAGGACAGGAGGCAGAGGGTGAAGCAGCTGATGGCTGTGAGGGTTTGGCCGCCCGTCTATTGTTCGCTGTCCAGGGCAGTTGGTGCTGAAACGCAGCGGCTGCTGTACTGTAACGCGGCCACACTGCACACCCAACCCCCAAACCGAGCTGCTGTGACACCTCCTGTTTATTTCCTCTCTCCCTATTAACCACCACCACACACACACACACACACACACACACACACACAACCAAGAACATTGACACCCCCACCACTAACCGTATGCGTTTTTTAAAAAAAATATAATATATATATACATAAATCAAACTTAACCTGAAAAGAATGGAATGAACAATCAGAGGGATGTTGGGGGTATTTACTGAGTTGTTTGGAGACCCAATCTCCAATGTGACTCTTCACATTGCCAGCTTCAATGTTGCAATGAAATGCAACAACAACAACACACACACACATATATTCTAACAGCCCACGTACACTATCTGCTGAAATAACTGTCCTACCCCTCCCCTCCCCCCCCAAAATACTTAGGAAAATCAAATTTGTACCACCACCACCACACCACCACACACACACACACACACACGTGTCTCCTTTTAAACTGTAAACAAATATTTGTGTAGTTTCTGATATTATCTGTGCAAGTGTGCTCCTTCAGCACCCCCACCCCCCCCACCCCCCAACCAGCAAACCTTGTTTTTTTTATATAAATGTATATATAAATCAAACTTTTTTTTTGGTAAGATTGTTTCTTCTTAAGAAAAAAAAGCAAAACAAAAGAAAAAGGGGATGTTGGAGGAATTTACTCCCTTGCTTGGGTTGATTTGCTATTTCGATTTATTCGCTTGTCTAGTCTGAGGTGGATTGGGTTTTAGCAGTCCGATTGCTCCATTCCCCAATTACTGTGAAATCATCTCGTGTACTGCACAACAGCACAGTCCGGGAAGTCTTTACAAAAGTGTGTGCTGAAGACATGTCGATGTGGATCATGTGTGCGCTTATTTTGTAATTTGCCTTTGGTGCAATTTGCTTTTTTTTAAGACGTCGCAGAATGCGATGTAACTGGATTTTGCAAATCAGAGTGGGAGTGGGGGTGGGGGGCGGGAGAGAGACATGTACCTTCCTCGCTAGTTAATATTTGCCATGTTTAGGCTTGAAATGACCATAGATGCTCTCTGTTTCTTGTTTTTTGTCAGATTACACTTCTTGTTTATTCCAGCCAGACACCCCCCACCCCACCATCCCCCCACTCAGACGCACACACACACACACACAACAACCAAGAACATTTAGACATATGGGGAAGTGTTATCTGCAGACTTATCAAGTCTTTGAAACGTCTCAAAACGTTCCATTTACTCCTATGATCTCCTGTTAATGCAGTGCGCTCAGCAGTTTAGGGTTGAAAGTAGAGACTGAGTCCAGCAGAGAAGACCATTCCAACACTTAAAGAGTGTACAGTGCTAAATGGAATCCAACAGAAGTTTACCAATTTCATCAGCCTAGTGGAGTCCTGTTCTAGCCAGTAGGCTGCATTCAGCGATTGTCTGAACAGAAATATTAATTGAACTTCGACCACACCTTTTGTCACCTTCCTACCCCTACTCTCCTAGGTCACCACCCCTCCTGATCCCAAACTCCAGCTGGGGTCCAAATCTTTAACTGTCCAGCGCCTTGGGATGTCCACCTGACATGAAAGGCGCTATACAAATGCAATGTTGTTGAGTCTTCCCTTTAAAAATCAAACAGCTGTTGCACTTTGTGGTGAATAAAAACAAAAGAATTGCATTTTTACAGTTCCTTATTATGTTTGACTCCCTCTGATCCAATCTAAATAACAATAAAAATTTGGTAACTCAATCTCTGACTGTTTGTAGGATACTGGGTGCAATTGGCTGCCACGTTTCGCCCATAAAATATATAGTCAATTAATTTTAAATATATTCTGTAAAGCAATTTGAGACGTCTTGAAGTTGTGATAAGGCACTAACTGCAAGGATTATTATTATCTATTTTGAGGGGTGTTCCGACTCTTGGGGTTAATGTACTTCTGATTTAAAGCAAGCAGCCCCAAATTTCTGTATTAAGGAAACCCATTTGAAATCATTTGGTTTAAATCCCAGTTAACTCTTCTGTTTGTGAAATTCCAATGAATACAGTATTGTTTCACTTGCCAGGCATTCAAAGTAACTTGGTCAACATCTATTCCACCCAATTCCTCAGCCATATATCCAAGCTTAAGTCCTCTCCCCACCACACCCAGCCTAGCTTTGCACAACAGTCAAAAGCTATGATTCAAAGAGCCATTAAGATCCCCCTCCCCCTCACCCATTCAATGAAATGTGGAGGTTTTCACCTAGTTATTCTGACTTGTGTTTGCTCTTCATTTAAATTAATTGACTCCTCAGCTCCTTGTGATGTTTCTGTTGCAAATTAACTACTGTGTTTGACTGCATGACAACATTCACTTCCTTTGCAATTGATTTTGTTTTCTATAGCACTTTCAGACGTTTGTTTTTAATGTGTAAGGTGCTGTCTATCTTGTGTATGTTGCAGACAATGCTACCAAAATTTAGAGAACTGGTAAAATCTCTGTGGCTGTGTCAGTAACATTTAATTTGCACATAAATAGTGTGTTTCCATTTGCTGGGGAGTCCATAAGAAGAAGCATACATATAAAGTAGCCACTAAGGGAAGCAGAAAATGTTACTGCATTTAAGAAGTTAGCATGATGGATGCATGAAAGAGAAGAAACTAGAGGGTTTGGGGAAGAGTGAATTAGGATGTTTGTGTGGAATATTACCACTGGCATGGACTAACTGGGTTGCTAAAAGCTCTGAGACACTACCCTGTGTGAAGGGTGCTATATAGAATCACAAAATCATAGAATATTACAGAAAAGAAGGAGGCCATTCGGCCCATTGTGCTTGTGCCATTTTTTTGGAAGAGCTACCCAATCAGTCTCACTCCCCCACTCTTTCCCATATCCTTACAATTTTTCCTTTTTAGTATCTATCCAATTCCCTTTTCAAAGTTGTTATTGAATCTCTTTCCACTTCCTTTTCAGGCAGTGCTAGTTGTTGTTGTTGTTGTTGTTGAATGGCCTGTTTCAGTGCTATAGATTGTACATGAAATGTAGCACGATTCAGAAAAGTGTCTAAGCTGGACTGAATTGAATAATAATCAAAAAAGAACCTGGAAACTTTGCTGCTGTTTGTCTTGACATTTTTGCCTCTTTCAATGCCAAAGGCATAGGTGTAAATACAGGAATGCAAATGTGCTGCGACACTCAGTCAAGTGATAGAGTCTTCATCTTATGGATCCTCCAGGGTCACATTGCTAAATCGAAACTTCCATTCCAGACACATGATGCTAAGGGGGAACTTCCAGAGCAAGTCAATGTTGTAAGCTAATTGTGAATCTTGAGAGATCAATTGGAGGGTTTTCCCTTCTTGTATTTACATAGCATGAAAACATAATTGTATGCATCATATTTATTCTCCAGTATTAGTCATTTGGTTGACCTGTGCTCAAGGTAACCTTTGTGTCTGCTTCATTGATGATGCATTGCAAAGGGCAATTTACTTACTGGGCAGTGAGAAGCATACCATTACTGCTAATGCCATCGAAATATTTATTGTGGCCAAGGGAAAAATCCTCCCTGCACCTGTTTTGGCAGGAGCTATTGGGCAGCCAGATCTTATGCACTGCTGAAGATCCTGGGATTGTATGTTTGGAGAGCTTTGGAATGGATTTGGGAGGTGTTGTTTAACACAAATAGCTGGAGAAAAAGAGAGTTTGGAGGCGAGGGAGAGAGTGTCAGCCAAGACTGTGAGCTCAGATTCCCGACGTGAGGACTTTGTGTCATTAAATGGCTAATAAAGGTGGGGGGCGGGGAAGGAATCACACACATATCTGCCAGATCATGAACACTTATTAGCGCAGGATTGTAGCACTACAATTTCTAACTTAGTCAATTATACAGCTAAGTTATTGTAAATATTTTAATTTAAAAATAATAATACTTGCATTTGATACCACACCTTTCACATAGGGAGGACATCTCACAGAGTCTCACATATAAGGAGTAGAAACTGTGTATTTTGTAAGGAGTAGAAACAGGGTATTTTGTAGGTGAAAGTAGCAGCTAA